GTTTGCACTGTGCGTAATATGATTATCAGATTTAGGTCAGGGATACTGAATTCACGCGTTGAATACTCATAATGCAAGTGGACATATTATTTTATGGGATAGTATTTTAAATATAGAACTCTGGCTTATAATTTTGTTACATTCGTGGGGGTTTTGTGATTAGTTGCTGAGGCACCATAGGCGGAAGAAGAGAATTTTAAATATGGAACTAGGTCATGTTATATGATCCGTCATACACACACATCCCGATCACATTCCGATGTCGTTTTAGATTGGACATGTAATGTCACGGGATAACATTTTAAACATACAACTAGTAGCAAGCGCTCTGTAATATGATGCAGCGTTTTAAGACTATAGACTAGTTGTGTCCCTTGTATGGACTGACCTGTGAGAACTAAACTATAATAAGACAACTTATAATAAGTTATATATAAATATAATATTAATAAACTTATAATAAAAACATTTTGTATAGTCTCTACCTAAAAGATCTAAAGTAAAAAAGCTAATGTAATTCATGTTAAGTTTACGCCACGTAAACATTATTTTACAAATAATATGGCGAAATATTCGGTGCTTTACAGTGAAAAAGAAAATCGCTTTGAACCAAAAGTATCTTAATGCCGCTGAGTGGGATGGACGAATACATCCATTTATATGCATTTACTCCGTATTATGACGCAGTGATGCCCTTCAAATGGATAATAGGTACGTGGGATGGCAGTCGAGCTGTGCGGAGATTTAGTTATGTAAATAAGCATTATATGTAAGCCAATAATCTAATTTACCGTCTCGAAGACATCGTCCTTAACCGATGATGAATAGTAGGTATAGTATTGACACTGTAATGACTTATTCTAATGTTGAGTACTAATTTAAGAGAAAGAAATTAAAAGAACTTAAGGTAATAATGAAAACCAAACTCGCGAAATGTATAAATTATATTATACTAGCCACCCGCGCCGGCTTCGTACGGGTGCAATGCATTATACATATAAACCTTCCTCTTGAATCCCTCTATGTAGTAAAAAACCGCATCAAGATCCGTTGCATAGTTTTAAAGATCTAAGCATACATAGGGACAGATAGACAGCGGGACGACTTTGTTTATACAATGTAGTGATTACATTACAAAGAAATAAAGCGCAAGATATGCGGCGGTTCTTATTTAGTAGCTACGCAAAATTGCCAAAAGTATCTGTATCGTTGCGAATATTTAATTTTGGTATTAAAATTCTCTTTGCTATCAGCGCCAAATATAATTGCAAAGCGATTAAATTTTTGCTAATCCATAAAGTTTCGGTGTGATTTTAAACAAAGGTAACACGATAACATGCAAAAACAAAATTACATTAACTCACCATCCAATTCAACAGATATACTCGATCAATTGCTTAGTAAATACTTATAGACTGTACATAAGTATTTACTAAGCAATTTCCGATTTGTTACTATGTTCGCGTAATAAATTCAAAACGAAGTCCGTGGCAAAATATCCTCGAGCACAATAGCGTTTAGTTGAAGCTGAAAGCGCTTTAACTAAATGCTATTGTGTGGTTAGCGCTATATTGAGCGATCAATTTATTTTGATCAAGGATCAGTGCAGGGACATTGCTCTGTTTGGGTCCATTGAGGATAATCGTTGCGTGGGCGGTACACATCCTCGTTCAATTCTGGACCTCTATAGGACAATTTGGTTTGCGATAAGCCGGCCTAATTGTTCAATTTCGCGAAGGTCACATCGACCTTGGACGCTGTACTTTTATGCCAATACTAGCTGAATTCGGCCATGCTTCTCTGTGGCTTTTTATCGTTCATATCCAGCTACTGAACAAGAATAAAATAAAAATAAAAAGTATATAAAACACTCACCTGTTTAATAGCAATGTTGTGAACAAATGTTACTTCAAACCGTCGGCTAGTTTCTATTTTTTAGACTCAAACTGGAAGCTAAATTTTATATGTAAACATTGAGTTTTAATAAACGCTTTTGAAATATCGATCACCATAAACATTTATGTAAAAACTTTACTGCTAATTAAGGTGTATTTTTAATTAGGTAGGTACAATTAACATTTTTGTAGCAGTGATGTTAAAGTATTTGTCAAGATAGAATTTTTAATTTCAATACTAGATTTATGTATTATATATATATTTCCTTCTTATATCTGTATAATAACCCTCTTCTAATACAATAACCAAATAATATAGAAACATACCGATCCTCTGCAAGAAAAAGAAACAAATAGTGTTTAGTACAAATGTACTACATATGTTTTGTTATATTTCTCGTGCATACTACGGATAGTTTACTTACCACGTAGCGGCGTAAATGAACACCCCTAATTGATATAAGAATTTCCCGGTTACGATTACAAAGCAACTGGGGATTTGAGCACAAGGAAATTAGGAGGGCCTTTACACGGTATACAAATCAGTGACCGCCGTATTGGAACCGTAATTTCCCTTCGACACGGTCACGTCAAAACAACAGCAGCTGAACGCGGATTGAATGGACTAGGGTTGTTGTCTCTTGTCAAGTCGAGTCGGTCGACGACCCTTGGCACAGTTTCGGCGCCTCCCGGCCAATACAGCCCCCTTTCCCTCAATGGATACGTGTAAAGTTCGATGGCCTTAGTGTACCGATCCACGTTTTGCCCAGCAATTACAGCTGTTTAGTTTGACAGCGTAAAGTTCGTCGACCTGTATAAAAATCCATTACTATGTTAGTTGATAAAAAAAAAACTCGTAATAAATTTAAAAAAAGCACGCCACAACTGTTTGCGTTTATTTGGCGCTGCATGATTTAAATCTCCGTCTCATCTCATGTGTCATTCATCAATCTATTCATGTATGAAATTTTTGCCATGAATGTACGTGGTGATGATATTCGAGTTTCGTTCCATTCAATTTAAATGCAATTCAATTTCCTTTAACAAGAAAATGGACAAGTTTTTTTTGGGTATAATAAAAGTGAAAATTAATATGCTGTACTTCCCAGATTCTTTTTATTCCGTAGTATTTGTTTAATGTATGTACATTAACATACAGTTCTGAAAGTCAATCGTAAAGTCAAGTTTAGTACGCACGTAAACAAGGACGAAGTTTTCATTTATTGCTCTGACCCTCGATTAAATGAAACGAGGTCAGTCGTCAATAATAAACCCGTTCAACGACACGAAAAGTCCCAAAAAGGTCGCAATGACCTTCGCCCTCCCTTTTGTATTTGCGGTCGAGATTTTCTCCTACTCAGTTCTTGCGACCTATGGCACTTAAATGACCATAGCTCTTAAAGAAAATGAACACGTGTGTGATTTTCGAGAGCGCAAAACAAACGTTGTCCGCCTAAGCCATAGAGCGATCGAGGTTTCCGCAAATCCGTTGCCATGGCGACTGTTACAAAACACAGTTGTCATCAAACACCCAAATTTCCCCGCTGTCCGGTTCAAGGAACGCGCGCGGCACACTTTCGATAAATCCGGAGAAACTATGCTAACGATATCCACCATTAATATAGTGAGTTGTAACAGGAGGTAAATTTCAAAAGCACACTTATGTTATTCTCTGCAAGGAGGCTGTTAAGGAGAAACATGGATTTTGGATTCGGCGATTTCCTATACCCAAACGTGGGTGGTCTGAGGCAGTGCTTTGAGAGAGATCCATTTTTTGGGTGTGTACTTCACTAGACATGAACTCTAAATTGGGTTACGTAGTCTTAAATGTTAATTATAAAAAATAAGTAATAGTAAAGGGACGTTAGATCTTTCATTGTTCCATGTTATTTACAACTTTAACGCATAATAAGTATATTTTAGATTTGTTATTTTTTTACATCACGAACGCGTACGTGAGACGTCTTCGCCGTAACTTCCATTAGTAATTTCAGAGTTTTCGAAAAATCTGGTATTAATAATGGTTCATTTGATTACTAAAAAAACAAACCGACCAAACTAAACCTACATTACAACTCTGCCACTTAATACGATAGTCATAGTAAGTCATATTAAGTTTATATGAAATACGGGGTTTCTCTGGGATCGATTTCTACTATGATCGAATCAGAAATGAGGGGATCCGCAAACGAACGAAGTTTACCGACATAGTCAAGCAGGTCTGCAAGCCGAAGCGCCAATGGGCGGGGCAAATAGCTCGCAGAACTGACGGCCGATGGGGCAGCAAGTTTCTCGAGTGGAGTCCAAGTGTCGGAAAACGCAGTGTAAGTCGGCCACCCGCGAGACGGACTGACGACCTGTCCAAAGTCGCGGGACTTCCCTGGAAGCAGGCCGCTTCAAACTGAACGAAGTGAAAATCCCTAGAGGAAGCCTATGTTCATGTAACTTGTTCTCAACCACCAAAGGTTAACTGGAAGACAATGCTATTTATCATTAAGTTCGCCTTTGTACAAACTTTTAGTACAATAAAGAATACACAAACAAACGAACAATATGTTCAGCAGTGGACGCTAACAGGCTGAAAAGATGATGATGTAGATGGCTAAAGTAAAGCTTATGGTAGAGTTATGTGCTGGGTTGTGAATGTATGGTCGATTCGACTTAACAATTAATACTTTAGTATTGTTCTCTCAGTGAGGTAGCAGGAATACCATTATTGCAAAAGCTGAGAAAGTGCGAATCCAGCCATGCAGTTACCCAGGGGCAGAGGTCATATCACGTGAATTGCGGGTTCGTTTTTTTTATGAGAAGGTGACATGGGAGCTGGCTGTGATGTTAAGTGACAGCCGGCGCCAGGACATTTGCAACACCCATAGTGTTGCAGATGCGTTGCCACATTTTATTAAAGTGCACTGCGGCCACCTCACACAACAAAACGAAACGAAAAGTATGACGCTTCCACTTCTAGCCGCTCTCCTGTGAGGTCGTGGGGCTCTCCTGTGAGGACCTGTCCATTCGTGCGACAGCCGATGCCATTGCGTGGCCCTGCTGCAGTTAGAGTCGTTTGTCGAGTTCCCTTAGAGTAGCTAACGCTGTTACTCGCAGCCCCTCGTCGGGCTTCCACCAGATGGCGCGGATGATGGACCGCATGATGACGGAGAGCCTGCAGCCGTTCGGCTTCGCGCGGGTCTCGGCGCGGCGGCGCGGCGACGAGAAGGCGCCCGAGGGGCCACAGGGGCCGGAGGGGCCCCGCGACGGCCTCCGAACGGAGAACGGCAGGCGCGAGAGGGGAAGAGCCGAGACGCACGCGAGCAACGGCACCAGACACCCTCCGACACAAGGTGACACAATCATTCCAAATCAAATCAAAAACATCTTTTTCTATATCTTATGTAGAATCTTATTTATCTTTTTATATATCTTGAACAGGGGATTATGAAATATCACACACATATATAGAGGAGTGCAGAATGCTCATTTTTTTAAATTATATAAAAGTACATTAAATAGTTTGGGACGTGATAAGTGCCGAGTGCCAAAAAAAAACCCGGCCAAGTGCCAGTTGGACTTGCACACGAAGATTTCCAACCATATGTATAAAAACGGCAAAAGAATCATGTCTGTTATATGGGAGCCCCATTTAAATATTTTTATTGTGTTTTTTCAGTATTTGTTGTTTTAGCGACAACAGAAATACATCACCTGTAAAAATATCAACTGTCTAACTATCACGGTTCATGAGATACAGCCTGGTGACAGACAGACAGACAGACATAAAGCGGAGTGTTAGTAATAGGGTGCCAAAAACGAACATAATTTTTGGATAATGATTGAGGCAACGATAACAGAAAAGCCACAGCTATTACCGTTGAAAGATACCTTGAGCGCCCTGATGTCTAGAAATAACTCTCACTTTGCACTTGCAAGTCCTCCTAATATTACTAATTTTATAATCATATTATTGCGTCACAAAAGAGTATATTTATTACAGCTTCTCTTCTAAGTATCTTTTAATAAATAAACCGGTACCAGTTTCTAATATCTATGGGTGCTTTTGAAATGTCATTATTAACGCATGATACCTGTAAGATCACTCTATGTTACTTCAGCGCTTAATATTTATAACGTGAGAATGAGGCATACGAGTGTTTTTAAAGTTTGCTGTAAAGGAACCACATTATATAACACCAGGAATTGATTAACATGCAATAAAACAAAGTTGATAAGACGCCGATGTTGAAATTTACGGAGGAAATGTCGACGGCTTAGCTTTGTGGCTAAGCGTCTTCATAATCCGAAATGCAGATCCGCAGGTTCGAATCCTTACAGTGGCGATAAATTTACGACAATTTTATTATTTCCATAATTCATACATATACAATTGATATACATGTCAGTATAACGTACATATATGTAACACAAACATATATTGTACACTCACATAAGAATCCGATTTCCAGTTGTCAGACCTACGCAGGCGACAACGTTCCACGAGTCGCCATTGGACCAGGCTAAGCAGACGGACCCGACGACGGAGAAATGGGCGGGGACCCTACGCAAACGGAACACCGACATACAGCCTACGCTGCCGTCCATTGTGTCCAGGAAGACGTCCACGTCCTCGTCGGTGGGGAGCGGGAGGAAGGGCCGCTCCCTGGAGAGGGTGCCGAGACCCAAGCGACAGCTGATCCCGATCAAGCCCATGCGGAAGGCGGACGGCGTCGCGGACGGCGACGTGACCATTCTGGAGAAGGACGAGAAAGTGTTCGACACAACCGGCTACGAGTTGCACCTTGTGGAGACCCTGGAGAGGGACATTCTGCAGAAGAATCCCGACGTGCGCTGGAAGGACGTGATCGGGTTGGACGACGCCAAAGCGGTCCTCCAGGAGGCGATGGTGTTGCCCCTCGTCATGCCCGATTACTTCAAGGTGATAATTGAATTTGAACTGGCACCGTTGAAAATTTGTTTTGCTCCATAGAAAATCATCATCATCATCATCATTTCAGCCTATTTGAGTCCACTGCTGAACATAGGCCTCCCCCATAGACTGCCACGAAGTACGATCCTGAGCCAACTGCATCCATCGACTTCCCGCACATTTGCACAGGTCGTCATTCCATCTAGTGGGGGGTCGTCCTACACTACGATGGCCAGTACGAGGCTGCCACTCGAGAACCTTTCTTCCCCAACGGTTATCGGTTCTACGAGCTATATGGCCGGCCCATCGCCACTTCAGCTTGCTAATCCTCTGAGCTATGTCGGTCACCTTAATTCTACTGCGAATGTCTTCGTTACGAACTCTATCACGCAGAGAAATACCGAGCATAGCCCACTGAGCGACTTTGAGCTTCCTCATTCGGCCAGCAGTGAAGGACCACGTCGCGGTTCCGTAGGTCATCACTGGCAACACACATTGATTGAAGACTTTAGTCTTCAAACATGAGGTATATTTGACGAGAAGATTTGCCGTAGTTTCCCGAACGCTGCCCATAGAAAATATAAATAAAAAAATAAATTTAGATGTGGTAGGACCACGCAACTGTTTTAACTGTTGCACGAGGTTCGTCCGGAGGGATCAACAATATTTTTGGGCGAAGACAATGCAACGTAAACGCTTTACGCTGATGACGCGGTTTTATAGCATAGTTTCATAGTGTTGTATGAGTATGTATGTATGTATGTCTGAACTAAACATTAAAAAATAATAATAATGCATTAATAATAAAATTAATCAGTTTAATTTAAGTAAAGTAAAGTAACAGCCTATACATGTCCCACTGCTGGGCAAAGGCCTCCTCTATATAGAGGGTATCGGGGCATAGTCCACCACGCGGCCCCACTGCGGATTGGCGGACTTCACATATCTTCGAAATATTTTTTTTGTTATTATTTCGACAATATGCAGGTTTCCTCACGATGTTTTCCTTCACCGCAGAGCACGTGATAAGTCAGCACTTAAAGTTAAAAACTTCATTGGTGCCGGCACCGAGGATCGAACTCAGGTTGCTCGAGTATATTGAATTAAAGGCGAGGGCCCGGACACAGAGCTATCACGGTTTTCCAGTTTAATTTAATTCTTATTAATTATGTCGAAATTTTATTTATTCTTACTTCAAACGCGTGTAAAAGTTAAACACACAAATTTTTTGGAATTTTTGACTTGTGACATGTTATTTGGTTTTACTTTTTTGTTTGGTGGTAGACACGATAATTTACTCTGAAACCTGCGTGACGGTCGCACATGACTCCACTGCTAAGGGGAATCAATTTGTAATTATAGTCGCGTATGAGAATACTCGATAAAATAAATATAAATTGATAGACTGAATAAGGCTCAATTCGTTGAAACCGATCTAATGTACCGTCTTTTAATTTAAGTATATGTATACTTATCTATGGTTTTTATTTGAAGCGACTAGTCTTAGTTAGTTTAATCTTATTAGTTTTTATTAAGTAGTGACTAGTCTGATCAGCGTCCCAGGCGCTCTCTTTCAATTGAAATTTCAATACACTCGAGCAATCGATCCCCGGTGCCGACGACAATGAAATTGTTAATTTTAACTGCTGAATTATCACGGTGAAGGAAAATATCGCGAGGAATAGCATATCTTCGAAATGATAACAAAAAAAAATATTTCGAAGATATGTAAAGTTCATATCCGCAGTGGGGCCGCGTGGTGGACTATACCGTGATACTTTCTGTACAGAGGAGGCCTTTGCCCAGCAGTGGGACATGTATAGGGTGATACTATTAACTAGTCTACGAAAGTTAACATTATAAATATGATAATCACTCAAATAAATCAGGGGCTTAAATTTGATATTGGTCTATCCTACCAGGGCATCCGCCGCCCCTGGAAGGGAGTGCTACTGACCGGTCCACCGGGCACTGGCAAGACGCTGCTAGCCCGCGCCGTTGCCACCGAGTGCCGGACCACCTTCTTCAACGTGTCCTCATCAACCCTCACGTCCAAGTATCGGGGCGATTCGGAAAAGCTCGTGCGTCTGCTTTTCGACATGGTAATGTATACTGTATTGACGTAGAGGGCGTGCAAGACCTTGCGCGATAGCAATCGTCCATCTTGGATTAGATTATTTCATTATTTGGGCGTGCAGGAGTTGACGCGATAGCAATCATCTATATTTCGTTTCATTATTTCATTATTTCACCTAATAATCTCATCACACATCTCGATGATGGTGATGATGATGACATTTGACCTAATAAAAGTTATTTTAACTTTTTTTTATTGAAAACTTACGGTTACAATTACTAGGGTCTTTACCTATTAATTTTTTAATACTGTCTAGTGTGAAGATCTTTGTTTCTGATTTACCATCAAATATTAGAGTGGGTCATTCAATCAATGGTGAATACACTTTGTGCTGGTTTTTCATCAGGTGTATGTCACATAAAAGTATCTTCCTGAATAGAACGTTCTACCCTCATACAAAGAGGCAAGATTTGGTTTTGTTATTGCATTTGAAGTGAAATAATTGAATGAACGAGTTTTGTTTCACTCCAAACGTTCTGAACGATTTATTATTTCTAGAACATCTAATATATAAAATTCTCGTGTCACGGTGTTTGTAATTGAACTCCTCAGAAACGGCTCGATCGATTTTCGTGAAATTTTGTGTGCATATCGGCCAGGGTGGAGAATCGGATGAAAAATAGATGTTATTTTTCATCGCCTAAATGTTAAGGGGGGTCCACCCCTAAATTAATTTTTTTATTTTTTATATAAAATTTTTTGTTTTTTTTATTTTTTTATTATACGGCATACAAAAATACATACAACCCTAAATTTTTACCCCCCTAGTAAGCAGCTAGTATGTATATATAATGGCACATATAATATTAAGAAAAGAGTAATTTTTATAATTAAAGTATAATGACAAATTTACAAAAGCATATTGTGATTTTTGTCATTCAGTGTACTACTTATCTTATTGTCACTAATTATTTATTTGGTTATGGTTCATTACATATAATAATGTTTACAGAATCACCGAATCGTATTTTTTATGCGAGTAGGTAGCAAGCGTGCTGGCGGTTCGCCTGACGTTAAGTGATAACCGCTGCCCATTGACATCGTAACACCCGAAGCGATGCAGATGCGTTGCAATCTTTTAATAAAGTAGGCCCCGGCTACCTCACTCACCAGACGAAACGCAGTTAACACTTCCACTTCACGCCAGTCTCCTGTGAGATCGTGGTACTTTCCCGGACGAACCCATCCGTGCAACGGAGAAGTCAGTTGCGTGGCCCTGCCACAGTGAAGTATATGCGTATAGACATTCGACAAAATTTACCACAATCATCATTTCTTTTACAACTTTGATTCATTGAATGTTAAACGCTACTGTTTCTGATTCTCACCTCGTCCTTAGGCATCGTTCTACGCCCCGAGCACGATATTCATCGATGAGGTGGACTCTCTATGTGCGGTGCGCGGCGCTGACTCTGAGCATGAGGCGTCGCGACGCTTCAAAGCGGAGCTGCTCATACAGATGGACGGGCTCGCTGCCGTTTTGTAAGTGCAGGCTTTGAACACTAGAGGTGACATCTCAAACCTTGATTGTTGGTGGTCCACCACTGTGCGTATTTCGCGTAATTTTCCGCCCCACACAACTATTTTGTAAAGAGTTGGCGCCAGTGGTATTTCTAGACCGATACGACTTAGAGCCTAATCCTACCTAGAAGGCCGGCAACGCAATTTCGACCCAACTGATGTTGTGAATGTCCATGGGCGGCGGTGATCGCCTATCATCAGGTGTCCCGCTTGCCCGTTTGCCTCTTTTCTCCATAAAAAAAAACTGTTTGGTCTTGACTCTGTTGTTTCTTGTGACCTCTGCCGTCGTTGCTAAGTGTCCCCGCTCTCGCTGGCTAACTTGCAATATGTGCGTAACTCCAGAGTAGAAAATGTAATTTTAAGTGTTGCCATTTTTGAAACCAGCCTGAATATCCGAAGGAACGGATAACGGATTAACGGCGGTAGGGCCACGCAGCAGCCTCGGCTGTTGCACGAATGGGCAGGCCCGTTCGGGGTAAGTACCACGACCTCACAGAAGACTAGCGTAAAGTGGAAGTATGACAAATACTTTAGCGTTTCGTCTGGCGAGTGAGGTAGCCGGAGCCCAATTTCCAAAAGGTTGTCAACGCATCTGTAACCTTTGGGTGTGGCAGATGTCCATGGGCGGCGGTATTCACTTAACATCAGGTGAACCGTCTGCTCGATTGACAACTTTCCTCATAAAAAAAAGAAAACGTGTTGAGGAATGGAAGGTATACCAATTGGGAATGTGTACTTAACGCTTTGTACAGCGTAGGGCCTTTCCTAGTGCTTTGTACAGCGTGTCGTTACCACCGCGACTATAAATGAACACACATATAGAGGATAACTTTTTAAAATTGTATTAAGCATTTACATTCTTTAAACATCAATATTTACCGAGTTATAAAATTTTACAAAACAAACATTTTTAGAACACCCTTACGTATAAAACTGTAACGTAAAGTCCATTTGTAAAGGTCACAAAGCATACGAATGGGTTGAATGAATTTAAAAGAGATAAAACATACTGTTAGAAGGAGAGACTTGTAATGCGACGTTGAGACAACGAATGAAAGTCTCTGAATGTATGAATTAGTCAGTTGTAGTTGTATAGGATGTTACAAATTTTGTTTCTTTTTTATTTAATTAGTTTGTTTGAAAAATATATTTTTTTAAATATGGATTTTTTTACGTTTTGTATTTTTTAATGATTGTTGAAAAGTAGCTTTAGACGTGTGTTCATTTATTGTCGCGGTTGTAACGACACGCTGTATATGTTAAGGTGTCGTACTGAAGTCTTACCGCGATTAAATAGATGTATATGTGTAATTGTAATAGTTCGAAAACAATATAAGAATATGGGAAAATTAACTAAGACTAATTTTTGATTTTCATGTATCGTAGTTTCAATTCGAAATCGTAGTAAGTTATGTCATTGCTCAAAGGGTAAATATTAATTAACAATAATAATAAATATTTATAGGACATGTTATAACACGACGCTATCTAATCCCAAACTAAGCATAGCTTGTACTGTGGTTATCTGATCAGGTAACTGATAATCACACTTTTTTTTTATTTAATTAGGATCGCAAACTGAACATTACACTCACATTACAGAATAATGGACACAGATAAAGTTGATACGGAACTTAACACACAAGTGAATGTTCTTCTATGAGCGAACACAACATACACAAAAAACACTCTCAACAATTAATAATTGTACAACGAAAAAAAAAAAAAACACTTAAACGTACTTTTAGTTTTTGTAAATAAATACATATTACAGACATATACACACAAACATTAGAATAACATTATGATCATCACACAATATTTTCCCAGTAGTGAGAATAGAACCCACAGGCTTAGGCGCAACAGATACTTCCACTATCCATTACGCCAATAGGGTTGTCAAAGAGTGTTCCTAAATAAGACGTAAGGTCATCAAAAGTGTTTCCAAATATAGCATTTCGTACGCGGTGAAAGCGGAAGTTCTTCTCCTTTCGTCTCTAACTATAGTTATCTATAGAATTGTTCATACATTAAAATGATGTTGCCAAATTTAGCAATCAAGACAAGGTGATAATGGTGCTGGCAGCAACTAACCACCCATGGGATATCGATGAAGCATTTAGAAGACGTTTCGAGAAGAGAATATATGTCGGGCTTCCTGATGGTAATGAAGTAATTTTATATACTTACGTATAAAATCTTTATTAAAACAACTTTGTTACTTATTATTTATTAAGGTTAAGCTTAAGCTTACGAAATTTTTCACGTGCATTTCGATTTAAATTTAAAATTAAATTGAGTTTAGTTTTAAATTGAATCTAGAAATTCGATAGCATCACTAACGCGAATAAAGTTTTTAGTAAAATTGTTAACCTTAAAAAAAAAACTTTTTGCCGCAGAGATTACAAGAATGAAACTGTTGAAGCTCTGCCTGCGTGAGGTTTCCTTGACAGATGATGTAGATTTCGACGAATTGGCCGAAAAACTGGACGGTTACAGCGGAAGCGATATATGTAATATATGCAGGTAAATTTTCGAATTAAATTTAACCTTTCGTCGCAAAGGCAGAATGGTTTAAAATAAATGTTGAAAGGGAGCTAATCCTCAAGTATAACTCATCTCCATGGATTATCATCATATTTTTATCGTACAACAATTAGTAACAATGGTTTATTTGAAAAAAAGAACTCGAGTGTCTGGAGGGAAATTTTGAATAGTACTGTGTAGTAATACATACAGGAAGGCTTTTCAAGTGTATCCATTTTTTTTTCAATAAATTCTAGACAAATAATTTTATATAAAAAATCATAAATATTTAAAAAAAGCGCAATGGAAAGGGCTTTGGGGTTTCTCTACGAGATTGAATCAGTAATGAAGTAATCCGTAGACGAACTAGAGTTACCGACAGAGCAAAGCGAGTCAGCGGGCTGAAGTGGCAGTGGGCAGGGCACATAGCTCGAAGAACCGATGGCCGTTGGGGCAAAAAGGTTCTCGAGTGGAGACCACGTGACGGCAGCTCAGCGTAAGAAGGCCTCCCACAAAGTGGACGGACGACTTAGCCAAGATCGCAGGGACGCGTTGGATGCAGGCCGCTAACGACCAGTCGAAGTGGAAGTCAATGGGGGAGGCCTATGTTCAGCAGTGGACGTCCTACGGCTGATAATTATGATGATGATGATAATGATTTAAAATCACTCGTAATCAATTAAATACATTAATTTGAACTTATCACAAAAAGTACGTGATTTATGGGCAACTCATTTATTTTACGCGTGATCATTCATAACACGCACACAAGTTCTTTTCAAAAGTATACGACGCACTTATGAATGACTACCGCATTGTCAACAAGTTCTATTTTCTGAGGAATGGAATGGCAATATTTTTGAAAAAAAAAAAAAAAAAAAAACAACAGATTGTTTTTATTTCAATAAACGATTGTACTTGTAGTACTTGGCACTGTCATGCAATAAGTCCATGCAGCAGATTTATTTTTAATTTCAAAAGAGTAGAGGTACGAGGTTTTCAATTTGGTTGTATTGTTTTATGTTTGTTACTCCAGATCTCTGTCATTTATGAACCGATTTAAATAAAATCTTTTTACGTTGGCTTTTTTTAGCTCTCATGTGGTCCTATATTAATTTATTTGGTATTGAACCCTGGACTCCGAAGGAACATCAGGGAACTCCTCAAAATCAAATAGAAAACGTATAGTGAGTGTGATATTTGCAGTCGATTTTGTTTTTTATTACGATTTTGACGAACTACCGATGGTGACGGTCCAAATCATTGCACATCACAAATGTTCCGTCAGCTCACGCTCATTGAGGGACTTAAACGCATCCAAATCGACCACCCCGCAGGGACGCGGCGATGATGACGATGCGCCGGAAGATAGCGGGCAAGAGTCCCGACCAGATACGCAGGCTGAAGCAGTCTGAGCTCGAGGCGCCGGTCTCCAAGGAGGATCTGAGCGCGGCGGTCGAGAAGACGCGCCGCACCGTCAGCACCAGCGACGTCGCCCGCTACACCAGCTGGATCCAGCGCCACGGCTGCTCCTAGCGCCGCGCGAAAGCGCTGCGAGCGCTGCTCGGGAAACTGAGGAACTGCTAGGGGTAACCCCGGCAGCGGTGCAGCTTCGCTGTCGCCGCTGATTGCCCGTTCGCTTGTCTCCCGTACGATAGAATTCTCGTGTTTATCTTTATCTGTAGTGTTGCTTACAGCAAAATTTCCGGTCGACAAAATTGACAGACATTGACTGATACGTTCACTGACTAGATTTAAATCTTAATGTCATTATTAATACAAAAAAAAATCTAAATGACGGTGTTTATGAAATGTAGTGTCTTTGACTTAATAATAAGCCTATTTTATGCAACTTTAGGATTAGTCCAAAATTGATTGTGAAACGAGCATTTGTCATATCTCGGCATTTAATCATTTTTATTCGTTGATCATTGAGACCTCCAAGCTGTATCGATGTAAATATGAACAATGACTTAATTATTATTTACTTTTCCATTTAACGTTTGCAACTTTTTTGGAAATAAAGTTAGATCTTTACCTAGATAACTGTCAAAAAGAGAGGCCTTTATACAATTTAGATTGTATCTTATTTACATATCTAAAGGAACTAACATATTGTTTAATTACCCAATAATACAAGCCTTGAGCTGAGTTTTGGTGCATCAGTCTCCCACAACATGAAAATTAATTTGTACATCCACCTTTTGAAATACTATTGTGATATATACTGTGGTGAGAAAATAAAGAATTAAATAACAATATAAATCTGAAAAGTATTTGCGAAATTTTATACTGATTTATCCTGTGGAACATAGAAATTAATTATAAATAAATTTTTAATAAGTGACATAAATCAAATGTTTATGCATTTTAAGATATTGACAACAGAAATAAGTATGTGGGATAGAAAATATAGAATATGTCTATGCTTATTCGAGCTGTATGATAGTCAATATTATTAAAAGTGTAGATAGTATTAACATCAAAACTGAATGATAATATTTCTTGTTTATTTCAGCTGTTTGTTATTATTATCTGATTAATCATCTACACTAGGCAGCATATATTGCGTACCTATTTAGTATCTAGAATACCTACAGCAAGCGTTCATAAGTTATTGTCAGAACTCCCCGTAGTATTTATCATTTTGTTACAAACTTTTGTCGATGACCCATCACCCCATTTCAACATGGGCGATGAAGGTCAACCGTCAGTTGAATAAATAACTTCGGATGAATTCGTTCTAATTCTATAATATGCTTTATTTTAATTAGAATTAACTAAATTATAAAACAACAATCATGACTAGACAAAAGGTTTAGTTACGTTTATGTTGTCGAAAGGATAACTGTCAGAATGAAAAGTTTTCGACGAAATGAAACTACACCCGTTTTAGATAATATGATTTATTCAGGAATGGTGTTAATTATTGTACTCATGATTAAAGTAGAATTACTATAACGGTTAATGTTCTATGTAAATTTGTAACGTGTACAATTGTGAAGTTTTAATAAAAGACCTTTTACTTATGGTATTTTTTAATATACAATACATAAACGATTATTTGGTTATTCATGAAGCCTAACTGTCTACGATAAAGATCTTTAAAGTACGGATAAAAGCTTCTGAAGGCCACAATTTTGGTCCAGGTTTTAAAATAGAAATTCGGTTCTGTAAGATTGACTGCAATTTTTTTTTATCATACATACAGTTTCTAATACATTCTTTCTTTTGCATCAATTCTTTTCATAATACAGGTATTATAATGCATAAAAAGCAATTTCAATAAAGGATTGTACAAGTTAAAATTTAAATTAACATTCCATATATCATTTATTGGTAATCATTACAGGAAGAGAATTTATATTGACATACAAGCTACTAAGATGAAAAATAAAGATTACAGATTTAAAAAAAAAAAACTTAAGAACAAGTAAAACAATGAATAAAATATCAAACAAAACAGTATATTATTTAGAAAATCTACATCGTCACAAGTTTTTCGTACTTTTAAATATATTATGCATAGGTACATAAAAACGCTTTAATTTGAAAAACTACTGAAACACCGAACTAATGGCTGGCTGACTCAGACGCTACAGTTAGCTTTTAACTAGCATCTAAACTGTTCATTTGCGAAGTTCAGTTTTATACTTTAAGACTTTACTTCCCAGCTAAAGTTGGTTTTAGCTCTACTTGACGGCGGCCATTAGATGATTTGAAATTGATTTGTTATAAAGTGCGCCTATTCAATTACTGTAATATTTTAAAACAGGAAATTACGAGTAGTAACAAGACTCCGCGACACGAATATCGAAAGTGAAGCATACTAAGTGAATATATATAATAATACTAAGGGAACGCTTGTACGTATGAGTACATCCCTCTGAACACATTTACATCATAGTAAGCTGATCACCATTACACAGCAAGACAGTGTCTATGTCGGTACTGTTTACGTCAAGTTAAGAAAATTAAATAATGGCATGGTGTATGAATAATACTAAATGCTAGAATAAGTGCCAATATAATAATAATTTTAGATTTTTACGGTGTTTTTTTATTTAAAATTTTTTTGCCATTTCAATTTTATTGAAATAAATGAACAAATCGGCAAAGCGTTAAAAGAATCGCAAATTTTCATCTATCTGGTAACTCTCAAATCATACACATATATCCTACTCGATTCGCCACTCAATTCGATGCTTCACATTCGATGTGAGTGGCGAGGAGTCTTTTTATTTTTATAGCTCGTGATTTCGATATGGAAGTCTTTCCAAGCGCACGTGCATAATCTTCAGGTATCATGTTTACTTTTAAAGTTAAATCACAATTGGATTGCAATCATTTTATTCCACGCGAAGAGTGAGAGATCTTTATATTACTTCATTCTATTTTTTTATGTACACGAAGTTAAGGCATTTATGTGAATAGTCAAAGTTAATAAATATAAATTGATAAGAAGGCACTATAGAATACAATCTATTTACAAAAACCACTAAATTCAACATGCGATCTAATTGTAATAAACCAGAGTGTTTGGTTCAACAATTACATTTTGATATAAATTTGAGACTTATTGCTAATTATTAAATTACATTATATATATTTGTCTATTTGTGATTCGAACACTTGACTACTATCACAAGTTTGTTATTATATTAAATTATGTAATTTGTGTCCTTAAAAGTATTCAGTGTTCTACCAAAGTCCAATAATAGAAACTTAAATTTGTTTCTGATTTTCTATAAACAAATGTTATTGTTCAATCTTTTTAACTCCTTTCTCTTATTAGCCAGAATGCGATTTCAATTTTTTACATACACACATGAATTACTTGCTTATGTTACATAAATAATTCGTTATCATTTCTTTATTTACGCTGGTTATGGTAATTAAAAAGTTGTCATTTTACTGCGTGTCACATGTTTTGATATTTATATTCTATCCGTTAGTCATTAGGGGATGATTTTTTGATATTTTTTAATAATATTTCACTTTCCTTCACAGGTGATAATTGACATTGGTCGAAGGAGGACAGTTAAAATTAACCTTAACTAGTATATTTAAAAGAATAACATATTTATTATCTTTGTACTAGTTGCTTATATCTTTCGTGACACCACTGTCTATTGGCGCCTTAGGGGCCTATGGGGATCGATGTGGGGTCAACGAGTGACGTCACTCCGGCGGGTTACCGTTCTTTTTTATGGCGACGTCGTCATCCTCTTGCTCTAGTATCGCCGCAAAGGAAAACGGAACGAAGGCGTAGCCCTGACCTTCGTAGAATTTGCTCATGAACTCGACCCTGAAATGGAGAAAAGAGCATGACATGCGGCGATTATAAGTCACTGGTTTGATGGTTAGGACCCGAGCTACGGACAATTGTACTGACAGTGGATCAGTACAATTGTCAGATTATGATATGAAGGTTTACCATAAAGAGCTACATGCTTGTCTATTGTTCACTTCACAGCTTGTTCACAGTTAGCCGCCATTAGCGGAATTCGCCATTATCCCATTTGCGGAAATTTGTTCGTATTACAGTGGTAGATCAGAGACCTGCTGTTGTTGTAGGAATGAGTTAGATCGGACTAAATAATAAGACCAAAGATTGGTGCACACTAGTTGTATTTATAAATTTCCATTCAAAGTCTGCACATACCCAAGGTTGGCCTTGATATCGCCCCCATAAAAAATTGTAAGCTACTATAATCTCTGTTACAACCGGAGCCCAAATTTTAATTGTTGGTAACTCATCTCCAACCGTTTGGTGTTGTAGATATTCAAGGGTGGGCGGTAATCACTTAACATCAGCCTGCTTGCTTGTCAACTTTTCACACATGAAAAAATCGTCGGGTTTCATCAATATAGTCTGGAGAATGAACTGGTAGAGAATGCTACTAGGAGCTACGTTGGACCATTTTAGCTTAAAAATATGCATTTAACAAAACTAGAAACTAACAAATCTTGTGGATAAAGCTTCCTGCACTTGCTTACATGGGAGACTCCTTGGGAAAGAAAATACAATTTCAGTTTCTACTACTTTTGTTGCTAAAACAATGGACACAGTTGTTAAATTAGGATATTCGAACCCGTTTCTGACCGAGTCTCCCACATAACCTGCCACTCCCCCGATCCAGTGGCTGGGGACTCTTAAAGGATTCCGAAAGAGAAGTATACCGACCAGTGCAACCGGAGGGTGTGCAGGAAGGCGGAAAGGCCTTCCATCAGCACGAGAATGGCCAGCGTGAAGAATGCCCACACCGCGAAGATCACGTACAGCACAACTGAGTTGGCAGGTGAGCCACCACCCAGCCCCATTCGAAGAACTCGTTGCCACAGCACGGCCGAGAGTTCTGCGCCACCAAAAAGCAAAAGACTTTGTTTCTATAAACGACTAGGTGATTTTTTTCTCCAAAAGTTATGGCGCAAGCACTTCGTTACATAATTATATTTCTAAATCAAACTATGTGTACGGATTTCAGTCTCTCCCGTGACCATGAACGCTTTAATGGGAATTAAAACCAAAAATAAACACGATAAACCCGTAAACACAGTTCCATTTAGTAATATGTAATCGCTTAAATACAATAAAATAATTATATTTCTGTTATTATCTGCCGTCTACTTTCAACCATGAAAAAGATGGACTGAAAGATGTCACTGGGTATTGAGTCCACACATTTTAGCTTAAAAATCTGCAAATAGCAAGACCAGAAAGTTACACAACAAATGGATGTGAGCTCCCTGCAATTGCCTATGTTGGAGATTCCTTGCAAAGGAAGTAACCATTTCCGCTTGTTGGTTTTGTTTTCCAACGAAAGTATAATTTACCTCAAGAGATTGGCTGAGAGGCGCAGTAGGTGTTTTTCATGGCTTAAACAAAGTGAGGGACCGGGATCGATGGATTTGCGTAAGATGCCTACACAACGTGAGACGATATAATATTACATGTATGTCCTGAAGTATTTTTTATACATAAGCGACATGGATTGAGCTTAAACGCTATTTAGTAATTAGGTGATTACCGATGTTAAATAGAAAATTTGTACTTAAAACACACACGAATGTAGTTCAAGGAAATAAATAAAATATTTATTTGTATGTCACATAAAAAGTCTATTCTTTTTAGTTATTTTAGTTCGGAGCTGAGATGCGTCACGTAGTCAAAATCGGGGTCTTCTCCAGAAGATTAGCGGTTAAGTCCGGCAGGTATAAGGAAGGCTTTGTGGGATTTAGAGAAAGTACTCACGTGCGTGGGCCAGCGAGAGCGCCCACAGCCGAAGGTAAGATGCGGTGTGTGAGACGGTCCCAAGCACGTACTCTATGGTGTGTATGGCTTGCGTTATCAGCACCTCACCCATGCCACCGTCGTGTTGCTCCACCTCCGTCTCGCCACTCTCCACCCCTTGCTGGTACTGCTGAACATATCGATTTGGCTGTTTTATTGAAAAGAAGCAGAAAGAGAAGAGACTGTCTGAAAAAGAAGTAGACTGTCTGTGACCATGGACTTACAGAGTCTAAAAGGTCGAGAATCAACGCTAAATATAAACGTGATAAAATCCGTTAAACAGTTTTATTCAACAGTGTGTGCAACTTACAATTCATTTCCCCAACTTTAGTCACTCAGAATAAAGAATTCACAACGTCAATAAGTTATTGAGGAACTATTACTAATTCATTTGCTCAATTTTACTCATTCACATATAGAATTCACAACATATTTCAACACTCTGGGAGACTGAGACATATCTAGTAGTGGTCTCCAGCTAGATCGTGACGACGGTAATTATATTAAATTCTAGGTTTGGTGGTAACATAACGTATAAATATGTGCCTTGGCACAAAAGGCCAAATGTGCCAGTGAAGGGAGAATTTAGTTCTCGTTAAAATTGTAACTAATATATCTCTGATGCTGCTGTGCTTTATAATTCTATTGTACGGTACCTACTAAATTCAATTTTTTATATACATATACACTTAAGATCCTCCTTCGGACCTGTACTATGACCTGAAATGATGATGATGATGATAATCATCATTATTTCAGCCTGCCTGAGTCCACTGCTGAACATAGGCTTCTCCCATAGATTGCCACGAAGTACGATCCTGAGCCAACTGCACTCATCGACTTTCCGCACATTTGCACAGGTCGCTACTCCATCTAGTGGGGGTTCGTCCTACACTGCGATGCCCTAATACCACTGTATAAAGCCAGCCTTTACCGAGCAATGGCTTATATAGGCTATTATTTAACTCAACTTATTTAACGTTCAAAAACTTAGGTACCTGCTTCTTTTTATCTGCCATCATCTGGTATACTGGCTTTCCGAACAACATGATAGGTACACAGAGGAAAGCGACCGCCAAAAACGTCTTCTGCAGCGCCTCTTGTCCATCATACATTTGCAGCATGCACGGCGGCTTCACTTCCGACTTCTTCATGAGCATCATGTTGATGAAGATGATCAAGACAGATGGTGCACAGGAAGTGCCGTAAGCCGGGTCTGGTGTAAATGGATATAAATTAACTTACTTCGGTACATCGACGTAAGAAAATGTATTTGTGGTCCACAAAATAGTTACTTAACCTTTTTAAAATTTTTGAATGCTAAAAATATCTTAACATTAAAATTCTAAATCGTAGGAAGATAATTTATTAAAAAAATGGTTAGTTATTTAATTTATTTTTTTTGCACGTAGCTGTATGACAACGTTTTCACTACTAATCTTTTTGTAGGCTAAATCGGAAAGATATCTACTTCGATATTTTATTTTGTTTTAACTAATTTTAACTTTCTGCTACGTTGGAAGGCATTTGAAAATTTAAACATGATGTAAAATTGGTTTTATATTATTAAGGTTTCAAGGTTACTGTCGATTTGTTAGATTTCCGTACGTGACATTGTAACTGTGACATTGTTCAGAATATCTTTTTAGTCCTAACAACATCGGATATTTCTTAACCAAACTGGAGATTCACATTATTATGTGCAATGGGACAGGAATTTTGATACAGAAGTTTTTACTTTTAAAATGTTGGCAATTCTATTTATTGATTTTTTAGGTCACGATTTATCGGTAACAAGTAGAGTGAATAGATTAGTACAAGTAATGTCAGTAGTAAAGATAGTAGCCTGTATCGTTAATAAGTTTTGGTAGAAGGCTAAAAAATCTATATAAAATCACACATTCCCAGTATTCAAAATAAAATCTGCACTAAAGAATTAAATTTTTCGGTAATATCACTATAAAATTATAAAACTACATACAGGAATTTTTCAATAAATCTCATCAGTTCTTACCAGTCGCCACGGCTGAATACATAGTCCACTTCATAAACATAAGTATGCACAAATACCAGAACAGCAGAAGTAGGAAAAGTATCTGCGGTATGTATTGCAGATATATCATGTAGTTCTTCTTGAAGAAGCTGTAATGCAAAACGAGACCTTATAGCGGACGTGTCAAGTGCTAGAATAGAATTAACAAAACTACGTGCTTTAGTTTCTATGAATATAGTAATTACTTGAAGTTTACCACACTCATTGTCACCCCGAACGCCATATGGATTACGCCGAATATTATAGACAGTTTCATCTTGAAGGAGTTTAAAAATATTATATTGTTAGACGCGAACTGTAACAATAGCATATTATCGTTAATTAACTAAAAATATTAATATCATAAAAAAATAACAAAAAAGTTTATGCAAAGACTAGAAGTCTGAACATTATTTGCTCAAATTAATTAATAACTAATAAAAATGTATATTCGTATAATCTAACTTTTTATACAGACATTTTATGAAGAATGTATTCGTAGAGAGAACTGCTGTCGGTGCAGACCAATATATTCCCAGACATTATAATTAATTTATATTAAATTAATTGTTTTAGTGTGGTAGAAACAGTATACAGAAGGTTCGGCTGTTGCACAATTGAGCAGAGAAACAATAAAGTGGAAGTGTTATACTTTCGCCTTTCTTCTGGTGAGTGAGGTACCTACTATCAGGTATTTTTATTTCGAAATTTGTCAATCGACTAGGCGGTTCACCTGATGTTAAGTGATTACCGTCGCCCATGGAAATCTGTATCACCTGAGGGCTTGCAGATTCCTTGACAACCTTTTTAAAAGTGGGCCCCGGTTGGATGGTTGCAACAGTAGAAGCTGTGTCTGTGAAGTTAAAATTGTGCTGAGGTAAAAGGAAAAAAAATCTGGCCAAGTGCAAGCCCGACTCGCGCACGAATGGTTCCCCGTACCATTATCTATGAAACCGGTAAAGAAATCATGTCTGTTGTATGGGAGCCCCACTTAAATATTTTTTTTACTGTTTTTTAGTTGTTATAGCGGCAACAGAAATACATCATCTGTGAAAATTTCAACTGTCTAACTATCACGGTTCATGAGATATAGCCTGGTGACAGACGGACAGACAGACAGCAAAGTCTTAGTAATAGGGTCCCGTTTTACCCTTTGCGTACGGAACCCTAAAAAAGCAATGTTTTCAATATAATTATAATAAAATGAAAGTAAAAATCTCCTACCTGCCAAGCAGGGTCTAGGCCGAAAGGATAAGGTATTTGCGTGTACGCAACCGCCGGGTCAAGCTCCAGTACTCTATGCCGCACTAACGTCTCGTTGTCGTACACGTTCTTCCAACTGCTGCCGAACAAGTTCAGGGACTTAGAGAACATGTCGTTGTATATCAAGCCGGTGTAGATGGAGAATATCCCCATCAGGAGGATGATGTAGCGCCCGCCGAAGAAGATGTTCCAAATCTCGTTGTCTGTCTTCTTTTTGGCCAGGCCCTTCTCGAGGATGATGATGACCGCGGCGAAAGTGGTCATTATCAGTCCATGCCCCACATCGCCGAACATGACGGCGAAGAGGAACGGGAACGTCACCAATGTGTATAAGGCTGGAAGGAATAGCCATGTGGCTTTAAGTTTTATACGCGGATTATTAAGAGTATTATTAATAAGATATTGGGCGTATAATTATAGTCTGTAAATGTATTCTAAAATAATATTTATATATCTAATATTTACAAGATTAAATCTATCTAAAATTACATATTATCTAACAAACCTAATCCATGCGGCATGGATTTAGTAATTTACTTTAAGTAAATTAATTCTTATGGTGGGACTTATATTTAGGGGAAAGGGGAGAGGCACTTGTAACATGATGAAATCATCGTGAGGAAACTTGAATAATTCCACAATAAAAACAAAAAAAATGTATGAAGATAAATGAAGCCTGTCAAACCGCAGTGGGTTCGCGTGGTACACAGAGGAGACCTTTGCTCAGCAGTGGGACTTTTATGATGGAATTAAGCACAAATTTTTTGACACTCACGAGCTGTTGTCTCAGACAAGTGTACGCACAACATAAGGCTTTTAAAAATGCAAACTGCGAGGCGTTACGCGGTGATATCTTTCACTGGAAGGCATCCACAACGCCCGGGGTCTTGCAGTTGTGTTGCCAACTTTTCTAAAAGTGCGCATTCGTTTGGTGTCTGGGTTAGTGGTAGAAACCCCGTACGGGCCGATCTATTTATGCAACAGCAAATCACACTGCCTGACTTTACCACAGTTGAGTCTGTATAGTGATAGTCTTTTGGTGAATATACCTGGGTTGACTTCACGGTAGCTGGCGATGCCGTAAGAGTCGATTAGGTTCTGGAAGCCGCGCGTGAACTTATTGACCCGGTTGAAAGTAGGCGGAATTTCACGCGTCGGCACGTGGTGAAGAATAGACGGGATTGGGCTGCCACTCTCCTTCTAAGGATAGATGAGGAAATCAAATACAATACAATAATATATAATGACATGCTCTGCTTTTGCAAATATTCCGAGTCACTTATTATCTAAAAGGTGATATGTCTGATATATCTATATGAAGTGAAGCGAAAGTATACATTTTATAGTGTTGCTCCTAACAATAATTTTAAAATTGACAATTACGTTTCTACGAATTATTATTATAATAACTGCAGCCTATGTCTGACTTATTGTGTATACACTAAAGAAGTTTCCAAGTGTTCCATATATAATCAACAAAGAACTTTCACAGGCAAATTGCATTATTTAAATATACAAATAGTAGCTTAAAAATTTTGGCCATGATACATAATACAAGAATCTTAAGGAAGTAGTCATCTTACCACACCATTATCCAGCGCCTTCTGCAGTATGGGCAGATCGCTTCTCGGCACCCAGCACTCGGCGATGAGGCACTTCTTGACGATGTCCATACTGAACATGTTAAGCGTGTGGTAGATGGCCTTTTCCCGTCGGACTGCCACCAGCCACGTGCTGATATCGCGGGCGATATTCGCGAGGACGAGGCGCCTGTGTTGCTCCGTTTGCTCCAACACCTTAAAGTACAACAACGGTGGAATGGGAAAAAATACGAGATGTCGTCAGTAATTATTTCGGTGGTAGGGCCACGCAGCAGCCTCGGCTGTTGCACAAATGGGCAGGCCCGTCCGGGTCAGTACCACGACCTCGCAGAAGACCAGCGTAAAGTATAACAGCGGAAGTATGACAAATGCCAGCGTTTCGTCTGGTGATTGAGGTAGCCGGAGCCCAATTTCCGAAAAGGTTGTCAACGCATCTGTAACCCTCGGGTGTAGCAGATGTCCATGGGCGGCGGTATTCACTTATCCTCAGGTGAACCGTCTGCTCGTTTGGCAACTTTTCACATAAAAAAAATGGTCTAATGACGTCTGGGCGCCATTAAGTTATGCACTGTAGAGTAATTTATTTGTTTGTATACTGGACGAGTGCAATGTACTTTTTTTTTACGTGGTAAAATCCTTTATGGATCCCCTGCCACCGGATGGGGGAGGGGCAGGGGTGTGTGGGAGTCCCAGTCAGAAACGGATACCCACTAAAAACCCACGTTGCACCTGTCTCTGTGTCATCAGCCGGGGACACGGGAACTCGAAGACACAATCTTCCGCGACGAGTGCAAAGTACCTACGACTTTCCTTTTTTTGTATCCCACCATACAGAGGGTGGGATACAAAAAAGATTATGGAAAGATTCCGTACTAATGTTACTTCTATTATTATTCTTATATATCAGAATAGAGCATTGCATTTGCTGCTACATACGTACCGTGTTGACACATTTACGAAGGCGAAGGTCATTAAGAATATAATAAATTTTTTATGTATATTATTTTATGATTTTTCTTATGCTAAAAGTTATAAAAAGTGAGAGTATTAAAATTAAAGTATTTAACTCATTATATCGCGTTTTGTTACGATTTTAACTTCTTACACTTCTAATAACTTACATCATTCAAGGTCAAGGTATAATTACGGGAAATAAATAATACGAAAATCAGTTAGTTTTATTGGGCAGGCGTGACCGGGGAAGTACCGCGACCTGACCGAAGACCGGCGTGAAGAATTAAACTCTCGCGTTTCGTCTGGTGAGTGAGGTAGCCCGGGGCCCACATTTAACGGTTATTAAAGCATCCACAAGCCCTTGGGTATTGTAGAAGAAGACGGCGCTGTCCACTTAACATCATGTGAAACGCCTGCTAGGTTAACAATTCCGAAGACATGGATTCGATTCCCACAGCGGCGAGAAACTTTTCTTTCCTTTTTTCTACGAATTTTTATCTTCTCACATTAAAAATAAATAAATGAATATTATAATGTGAATTTTAAGAAATCGTCATGGACTAACTATCTCCAAATCCTTGATTCTGCTTTCCACGCCAGCTAACATTTCCTGTTGTTCCTTGTACGTGGCTGGGCAATGGTACAGCGTCGCTTGGAACCCGTGGCAAACCTTCTTTACCCTCAGCTTGATTTGCTCGCCATGGAAGAATACCACGAATACCGTCTTCTGCAGCTCGTGGCCCTTTAACAATTTTAAACATTATATTGAAGAGAAAGATCATATATATGAGAATGTTGTGCACAATTGAAATTGAGGAAGTCATCTAGAAGTATCATTTCACTTGCAAAGAGTCAGAACTAAATGCGAAATTTTGTCACGTTTAACTTTAGAAGCATTTTGTATTTATAATTGAAATCAATAAGATTATAAAAATACATTCTAGAATGTAAACATAAAAATTTTTTATCTTTCATTTTTAAAATACATTGCCTTTCCTTTAGGATAACATTATCTTGTGTTGTAAGGACGTTTTAGAAAGTTACATTTCACGTGGACAAACACCGAGATGCGAAACGACTGTAGGTCACACAAATAGTTGTCCCGTGTGGAAATCAAACCCACGACCCCCGACGCCGAAGCCAATACCGTGGCACTGCGCCACGGAGTCATCAAGAATTATTCATGTTGTCCACGTAATTTGCTTAATAATAACCGATAACATTAAAAACCGTATTGACTCAGCAATTTTAATGAAAAATCATATTAAGAGATAAAAACAAAAGAATAATCATCTGTAAGGTAATTCTATAGTTTTAAATGATGTAATTTTAAGACTAGCCCTAATAATTTAACTCTTTTTTAAACCTAATTCATTTTTATATAGTAATTATGTTCATTACAAGAAGCATTGCGGCAGCATGCCGCTTGGAAAATCAATATAAAAACAAGGGTTGACGACCGTTTCTCACTTATAAACTATTCACCACGCTAATAGGGGTGAATAAGCTATCGTGTTTAGTGTTTTCGTGCAGAAAAAGAATATGTTCGAATAAAATGACGTTTACCTATAATGTATGAATTTAAAACACTTTTACCGACTGTATTATTCGTATTTTTAAAACAGTAAGTATCGTTTTATCTCAGGTTATACGCATGAAAAGATCTCGTATATTTGATTCGATAACAAGATTTATTGTAATTTTAATTTTATGTACTAGCACAGAGCTCATATTACTATTTTTTTTCATTTGAAAAGTTGTCAAGTATGCATGCGGCTCAACTGATGTTCAGTGATTACCGTCGCACGTGGACATCTGAAACACTTGAGGGATTGTACATGCGTTGACATGCGGTCTTCTGTGAGGCCAAGGCACTTCCCCGGATGAACATGCTCCAGCTATTTAGAAGCTGCTGCGTGCGTGGCCCCCACAGTACTGATCCTTAATCTTTTTAACCGACTTCAAAAAAGAAGGAGGTTTCTCAATTCGACCGTATATATATTTATATTTTTATGTGTGTTCGCGGATAACTTCGTCGTTTATGAACCGATTTTGACGATTCCTTTTTTGTTGGAAAGGAGATATCCCCAGGGTGGTACCGTGATAAGGAAACCCGGATCTGATGATGGCATCCCAGAGAAATCGAGGGCAATCCTCAAATGTTACAGGTTTTAACAATGTTTTTTGGTTTCCGGTTTGAAGTCGGTTTTTCTTTGTTAAAAATTATATTTATTTATTTATATATTTATCGTACACAAAACACAAGACACAAAACAGAGTAACTTCCATTCCAAATATTAATCAAAGCTGGGTAGTTCTAGCGGCGAGGGTATAGGGAACCAACAGACGATCATATTTAGAACGAATTTTTATTTATTTTTATGGATCATTTGGCGTCATTGATAAGCCGTTGACTCTGGTATTACGTATTGTTGTACCGAGCGGTCCGTATTGAATTTAAAAACGTGAATCTTCCATTCGATACAGAATAATCTTATGTTACAAGATCCCTAACGGTTTTAAAAAAATATAAGAAATGCCAAACTAACTACATTACCCATTCCTTTTATTACTGCATCACCCGGTACGTTGGGCGGTAGAAAATGCATAATTGTTCCGCCTATACACATTTGTCGAATTGAAGAAATATGAGCGCATTGGGGACTTACTGTTATGGGGTCCTTCAGTGGTTCGTCTATCTGTGCCTGCTTGAAGAAAATGTTCCCATGGGATATCCGCCACAACATCCTCTCGAAGGACGGCACCCGGGGCGTGGCCACCACACCAGCAATGAACCCCAGGTGCCCCAACACCCCTTCATTGTTGTAAACTTGCACTGACGCCGAGATCTTCCTGTGATGGCTGTGATCCTGGAAGAAGGTCTGGGTCTTCCCTATAAGCAGTTTCAGCTCCTTCAGTGACAGATAGTCCGCCTTCAGGTTCCTCGCATTGCGTGTGATCTCCTGGATTTCTGACTCTATATAATCTATCCTTTCCTGAAATGAAACAAAGTTCTATATCAACGCATTATTAAGAGGTATGTTTTTCTTATTACTTTAATTTTTGTTGCTATTCTCTTTTTACTTAATTTCATGTACATCCTACCCAATAACAACTCCTTTTAATCGATTTCTGAGGATGCCTGGAAGAAATTGCTGTGTCGCCAAATGTGAGGTCGCCTGATGACCGATATTTGACCTTTTTTTTGTACTTTCTTATATTTTGGTGTACAATAAATTACTATTGTGGGGGTATTTATTTGTTTTCTCGTCTGGTTGGGTTTGGGGATAAATAATAAACACATAAATATATATTGCATCTATAAAATAAATATTATGAATAAAAATAAATATACAGATATAAATATTATATATAATACATAAATAAATAGGACCCAACCAGACGGAAGCCATCAGCAGGGGAGACCAAACGGCCGAGGGTTAGGGTGAGAGGGAGAGAAACCGGCAGACGATGCGGGCGATATCGAGGAGCACCGCCTTCTGCATTTGAGCTTGGAGCTTTCCGTCCCGGAGTCCCAGTCGCCTCAGATGTTCGGAGAGGCTGACTGGGATTAACCCATTCGCAGACACGACTATTGGGATAATTTCGGTCGGCACACCACCCCACATGTCGGTCACCTCGTGAGCCAGGTCCAGATACTTCTTCTTCTTATCTGTTTCGGCTTTCACGAGGTTCTCGTCATATGGAATGGTAATGTCGACCAAAAATACCCACGACTGTGCCCGGTCCATCACCACGATGTCAGGTTTGTTCGCGACAATCGTTCTGTCCGTGATGATGGGCCGGTCCCAATAGAGCCTTGCGCGGTCATTTTCGAGCACGGCCTCCGGAGAGTACTTGTAGTACGGCAGTTTCCGTTCCATGTCCGTATTTCAGAGCGAGCTCCTGATGTATAATTCTGGCTACTAGGTTATGTCTATGCAGATACTCAGAGTTAGAAAGCATGGAACAACCGGAGATAACATGCCGTAGCGACTCCCCGGAATGGCGACAAGCTCGACAGATGTCGACGGTGCCATCCCTTAGGATGTATCTCCGATGTATCTCTTTCGTCTTAATAACCTGATCCTGTATCGCACAGACAAAACCTTCGGTTTCCCCAAAGAGGTCACCGAAACGTAGCCAGTTAAGGGAGGCAACGGTATCTACGAAAGGCTCGTGTAGAGCCTTGTAGAACCTCCCGTGGAGCTCTTTCTCCTTCCATACGGTCTCTCGGTCGGAAACGCTATTATTATTATATTAATATATTACTATTATTATTATATTAATTAAATCAATGATGTTTGTGATTAAACGCGACATGGAAATTGCATAAATTAATTTATAGATGGCTGACTCAATACTAATAATTTAAAAACCGACGGTAGCTTTAACTATGACATTCCGACGAACGCCTCAGTCTATTCCGTGACCATGAACGCTGAAAAGGGTTCAAACATATAATAATAAAATTTAAAAATAAACGCGATAAATTCATAAAAGTATTTTAATTTACTGAAGTCAATTTTTAGTCAAAATAGTTTTCATTCTTCTTCAGTTAATTAATTCTTTAGATACTATAAAAATCGTATTAACTTTTACTACAACAACGTGAATTGCTTAATGTCCGTAATATCCGAATAACTTTAAAAAAAAATGGCAAGGTGGGAATTATGATCTTGACGAATGCTTTCCTTTATTTCGACGGTCATATATTAGAAGAAAATTGATTTTCTATTGCCGTGATAGCACATTGTCCGGGCGCTCTCCTTTAATTAAATATACACAAACATACTTAGTTCGATCCCCGGTGCCGGCATCAATGAAATTGTTAATTTTTAGTGCTGACTTATCATTTATTGCACCTCAGTGAAGGAAAAAATCGTGTGGAAACCTGCATATATTCGAAATAATAAAAAAAAATATATATTTCGATGATATGTGAAGTATATGATACCCTCTAAGGAGGCCTTTGCTACACAGTGGGACATGGATAGGCTGTTACTTTTTACTTTTATGTATTAAGATGGGCTGACGGTTCATGGATTGCAAACGCGTTGGCACCTTTTAATAAAGTGGGCCCCGGCTACCACCAGACGAAACAGATGTCCATGGGCGGTGGTTATCACTTACCATCAGGTAAACCGCCTGCTCGCTTGCCACATTATCAAATAAAAATAACTTTGTCACTAAGAGTTTAAAATTCTAAGGTCATCGGAAAAGTTTTGGCGGCTCAAATCGAATCTAAATTAATTTTGATATAATAATAATATAATATTTATATCTATATGTTTATTTTTGTTTATAAATCCAACAAGACGAGAAAACAAATAAATATCCCCCATAATAATAAATATTTTAGGACACATTTTTACACAATGTTCTCTAATCCCAAACTAAGTGACGCTTGTACTATGGGTACTAGATCACTGATAAACATACTTAAATATACTTTTCTTTTGAAATTAAATACATATCATACATATATAAACACCCAGACACTAGAAAAACACACATGTTCATCAATATTTTACCAGTAGGGCATTATTTTACAAGTAGTGGGTATGTTTATGATATATTTATGGTAGAATGAACTGCTTTTGAGTTGGGGCTTATCAGCCTGGGTTTTCTATAAGCCCAGATTTTTGCCGGCATTGACACCTGCGTGGGCCAGATTGTATATAATTATTGCACAGTTTATTATCTTATACATTTAGCTATTGGCTATCTGCCTGGGCATTCGGATGTTTTAAAGAAATAGAAATGGCTGTGGGGTGAGTCACTGTTGATGTTGGCACTTATGTACCTCTATTGATAAAGCATACCACACCACGCGTAACGCACTAACCACACAGAAGATGTGCGAAGATTCTCGATCCTATTTCATTTTCTGTGAATAAAATTAAGAAATCATGAAAACATTACGTTACGGTTTCATTCTACTTTAAAAATATCCCTTTCTCATAATACTTACGTATTATTATTTATACAGCTAGAATTTCTCCATCATGTTTTTTTTATTTTATAATTAATTGAAAATATTTGTGAAGAAATTATCTATGTTCAGTACATGTGAGAGTTTTAATTTCCAAAAATGTAAGGTTGAAATAAACAAGACGAAACACTCCCACCCGTTCAAACTCACAAACTCAAAACATTACGTATATTTTAAGTTATTCAGTATAAGAAAAAAGAAAACAAGAGATTTATTGCCAAAAACCAACTATATTATCTGGCAGCCCTGATCTTTATTTGGCTCATCGTGGCCATCGCTTCAAAATCCTCTTATAACTGTAAACCATCGACTCGATATCATAATATTTTGTCGTAATATAACGTCAATCAATTAGGTCATATATAAATTAGATCATTAGTTAGAGACGTACGCATTTTATGATAAAGTTCGAATACGGCGAGACGTGGTCACAAAAAATCCGTTATTTTATTCTAAACCTGCCGTTTCGACGGGTAGAGTGAACAGATACAAATAAACAAATCGCAAATGTATCTCAAGGACAGTAAAGTATGTATGTCCTGCTGGGAAAATGCCTTCTCTATACAGAGCGTATTGGGGCATAGTCGCACTCACTCCACTGTGGATTGGAGGGCTTCACATATCTTCGAAATATTTTTGTGCAGGTTTTTTCACGAATTTTTCCTTTAAAGTTGAGCACATGACGATTCATGGCTTAATTTGTGCCGGCACCGGTGTAATCTCGGATTGCTCAAGTATCTTATCCTTTAAACGAGCAATTCTTGTATGTAATTATGAAATTAGTATGTGCGATTTTCATGAAATTTAGTATGTGCGTAGATTCGGGGACGAAAAATCGATCTAGCTAGGTTTCATATTTAGAAAATGTCCTTTTATCCTTGTTCCCCTAGTCCCCAGGAAATCATATCATTCGAATATAAAATAAAAAAGTTATAATAGCTCGGTCGGTATTCGGGCGGCCCCAAAACTGACGGCCGCGGTTCGTATCATGATCATTTACACACTTATTTTTTTAATTCTTTTTTTCTATACCAGATTATTTTCTTTATTTTTTTTTCCCAAAATACATGATTTACCAAAAAAAAAACCGAGCTAAGCTCGGTCCTCCAGGTACTTGAATTTAAACGAGCGCCCGGATACTGAGCTACCAAGGCAATGCTAGCAAGTATTAAGAGTTGCTCGGCAATGGGTTCAAATACGAGAGGGCTAAAAAATTGTTGATGATTATGATGATGATTAAAAAAGAAGAAGAGTCTTGCTGAGCTAGTGCGTTTACGATAATCGTTTTTAATGCAATATATAGTACCTATATTTAATTAAAAACGAACATCGTAAAGGAAGAGAGAAACCTGAGTTCGATTGATATTGTTAATTTAAGTGCTGGCTTATCACGTGCTCAGCGGAAAATATCGTGAGTAAACCTGCATATATTCAAAATAATAACAAAAAAATATTTCTTAAACATGTGAAGCACACCAATTCGCAGTGGGGTCGCGTGGTGGACTACGCCCCAATACACTCTGTACAGAGGAGGCGTTTGCCCAGCAGTGAGACATATATAGGCTGTTACCTTACTTTAACTTTAACCATTAGTATAGCAGTGAAGGAGGAAATCTGTTACGAAATAATATAGACTCCCACCTCGAGTATGTTTATCTCCCTCGGACTGAGCAGTGTCGGGGAGGGCTTCGGTGGGGGCGGGGGCTCTGGGAGCTCGCTTCCCACGTAGCGCAGCTTCCTCTCCATCTCGCTGCAGCGGCGCACCTCGGTGACGTAGCGCCTTTGGAAGTCGTTCACGTGGGGGTTCAACTGCGAGCAATCAAAGACAACTGTGAGCTGATCAGTTACGGCTATGGTTTTTTTTTATGTCAAATGTTGCCAAGCGAGCAGACGGTTCACCTCACTTACCAGCCGAGACGAGAAAGTTTTTGTCATACTTCCACTTTACGCCGGTCTTCTGTGAGGTCGTGGTACTGGTACCCGGACGAGGCTGCGCATTCGTGCTGCAGCCGAGGCTGCTGCGTGGCCCTTTCATGGTTTCACAGTCTTACTATAATGTAGGGAGGGATATTTACTTGTTTTCTCGTCTGGTTGGGGATATAAATAAAAATAAACACATAAATATATGGAGGGAGGGACATAGAGAGACATAGGGAGACTAAACTGCCGAGGGTAAGGGCGCAGAGGAGAGAAACCGGTGAGGACGCAGAAATAGAACGCCCCAACCCCCTGCTTCCGCAGCAAGTACAGCCTCATTACTGACGTTTGGGGTTGATGAAATATTTGAATTTGAATTTGATGCATCCTGTGGCACGTCATAGTGGTGGGCTCTTTTCCGTCCAGGGCATTGAGATATGTCTGAGCCCACCTGAGTATGCCAAAGGTTATACATGAGGACTGGCATGACCCATCCGTTAAATGGGCGCGCTTTGTTCACGCCTGACAACTGGCTGTGACATTTTTGTCAGCGGTGCCAAAACACATCATAAACTGACTTTAAAACGAGATTAAGATACGATTTCATGATTAAAACTGTGATGATAAAGATATGCTTACATATTGTTTGATAAAATGTAAAAAATAAGTACGTGTTTGTAATTAAATGTTCAGATTTTGTTGAGTTTTTTATTTAAATAACCAGTTCATATTTCCTTATTATTACGTTGGTAAGATCGAAAAATATTATGCATATTTCGTCACTCAGTAATTTGTATCTATATGTAATTTCCAACACGATTTACCAAAAATAAAACAAACCGGTCCTCCAGGTACTGACAATTTAATCATTGATCTTACTTTTTAATTACAATTCATTTTTATATTTTCACATTAATGTTTCTTTTATCTCGTGGGAGTAGTGTAGCGTTGTAAAATTGTTGTAGAAACCACATACGCTACCAATTCCGCTTCCTATACACCACATACCTATTCCTTCCTATATAACCACATACGCTACCTATTTAGCTTCCGCTAGACAATTCAACCACCACTGATGGTTGAATTGTCTGGCGAATTGGGCGTTAGTGCTCAACGAGTGTATGTACATTTAACGTTTCAGTGCTTCTATAGCATAATCCACTTAATTAATGGGTCAAAAGCAACTGGATCTCATCTGCCACAGGACACGCTCGCGGGCAATTATTGTTTTTAATTGAAATGACAATGGCCACCTCCACTTGTCCGCCAGCCGTCGAGTGATTACGCAATAATTTATATGGCATGAGTCATTTTAAATCTATTTCATATACGAAGGTACGTTTTTCTATGAGAGATTAACTGATGAATTAAATAACAATTTAAAAAATCGGCAAGTTAAAAAAAAGTCTATTCGTATAATACCGTAACAACATTTAAAAAGATAACGAAACGGTGATAAAAGAAATGTTGTCTTGGAGATGTTTTAGATTTGAATCGTATTAAACGTACATTTGCGTTTTTTCGTCATACGTTTTATTAACGGTACTTCTTTTTACTTTATTTACGACCAACAATGTAAGTAATACGTCTGCATGAACAGATTAGGGCTAGTGGCGAGGCCGTTCGGAATTGTAACATCCTTATTAAATTGGGCCGCTCTGTTACTCTGCCCACTGCTCCAGCGTGACGCGAAGCGTGTAATATTGCACTAATATACGAACCATTGACACGAAGGGCTCTTCCATCCAGATTAAATGTAAGAGCGCTGCGCTATCAAGGTGCTGAACTCCCGCTGTATTTTCAAGAAATTTGAAAGCTATACTTCTTTTGGCGTGTTTCGAAAATATTATTAGAGTCATATTTTTACGATGCGCGCGCCAAAAAGCGACATGTTGAAGCGACCGCTTTGCAACTAACGGTATTATTATGGCAACCAATAACATCTTTTTGACATTTAACTACGACTCCCAAGTTAGCTAATAATCATTATCAATACTGTACTGTCACAGTGGATAACTTCTTACGTACGTAAATAAGAACGCACATACATTTTTTTTGAAATTTGAGTCTTATTAATACTACATCTTTAGATTATTTAATCTTTTTCTAATTCTCTTGGATTTCCAAGGAAATCTTGAAAAACAAATTTGATAATATTAAAATATAACAGACGTCTTTGAGTGTCAGGGTAGATATGAAATATCGCCATATGTACAATTACATGCTTAATTTAGAAATCGTTTTAATTTCATTTATTTATATGACAAAGAAGATTAAACTGCTTAACATCTAATTTATGATGTTAAATGAAACGTTGACATTGTTATTAAATATGCTACGGTCTTAAAATTAGTGTTAGGTACTTAAGATATATTGGAAGTTCGTAAAAAGTAAAAAGCAGAGTTGTCATATCTTTGGGTTTTGCTTCGTTACCATATTTTTATCTCCGATTTTGCAAGTATTATTGACATGAAGATAAACATTAAATACGCAGTTCATTAAGCCATAACACTTAACAATGTACGACTTGGTTGAAGGACGTGACATACCAGTTGTAATCCCACACTTAGGATACACACTTAGGATATTTACGACTAAATGAAAACACTCAAGTAGAACGGAATTACTTTAATAAATTAATTGGAATCGAAGAATGTGTTATTTATTATGTGTTTTAAAACATTATTTTGATTCGATACAGTGATAAAATTTATTTCCGCATAGCACCGTGACTGTCTTAAAGAGTTATTGTGTTAACAAACGCTGTTTATCCGTTCTACATTGTTGCAAATAACGTGCACAAACGTTTGCCACGGCGATAGTATCGGGGCCGTGAAATTGGTGCATCCTGATTAAAATTGAGTAATAGCTCAGCGTAGTACAAAATGGCCCATCCGCATGTACGGCACTATGTTTGAAACTATTCGAGTCCGTCCTTTGTTTAGGCAAACTTTCTGTTTCGTTAGTGATAATACATGTTTAATTACTAACAACAACCGAAACACGAGAACATAGTGTAAATACTAACATTTTATTTATTGTTGATATAGAAGTAGCCCTGTCCACTTCAAATCGGGCTTAATAAAACAATAAAAACTCTTTTCATTTACCTTCTTGCATCTGTACTTAGCGGATGTAATTAAGGTGCCGTCATATCATTACCAGTCAATCGTATTGGTGTTGTCGTGTTATTGCCTTTTTTTCAAGTATTATATACTTTGTAGTGTTTACGTCAATTTAATCTTTTACTTTTTGTTTATTTTCATTGCACCTTTGTATTCCGTTGCACCTTTGTATTTAGAGACATATTCTTTTCTCAGACATACACGTAAGCTTATTCTACAACCAGTATACTTCGCTCACCAGAAGAAACGCAGAATTGTGACACTTTTATTTCACGCCGGTCTTCTTTGAGGTCATTATCTATAAAACGCTAAAATCATGTCTTTGTATGGGAGCCGCATTTAAATATTTTTATTCTGCCTTTATAGTATTTGTTGTTATGGCGGCAACAGAAATCAGCCAGTCAAAAACAGGATCTGTGAAAATTTCAACTGACTATCATACCATCACTACTATATCACGGTTCATGAGATACAGCCTGATGACGACGGACATGCAGACAGCGGAGTCTTAGTAATAGGGTCCCGTTTTACCCTTTGGGTGCAGAATGCTAAAAACGTAAAAAGTCAAGCGTGTGTTTTATACCCAATTTCTATCTTTCAATTTAGTACGTGGGTATTTCTTCGCGGACATATTGAATATCGAACGCCACTACGATGATAAAAAGTCACATCTGTAATTATTCTTATAGATAAAGACGATCCGATTGGCGTTATGTAACGTATTCGATATCCGCCACTGGAAAAATATTGTGTGATGACCATAGTATTATTCTAGTGTCTGGGTGTTTGAGATTTATGATATGTATTTACATACATAAAGTGCGTTAAAGAATGTGTGTGTGAAATGTTTAGTGATAACCGTTAAGTGTAACATAATACGTGATAATGTGCGTTGTTTATTGTGCACAAAATTAAGGCGCTGACTTTTGCTCAAAACGTTCTCCAAACGGTACATTTTTAAGCCAATTAATGTAATTTTTATGCAAATATGACGACCCGATTGGCGTTTTAGAGTAGTGACCTCCCTGCCTCCTGCGCCAGAGGGTGTGGGTTCGATCCCCACTACTGGAAAAATATTGTGTGAAGAGCATAGTAAATTTGTTTTTCATAGTAGTTGTCTGGTGTGAAATTTACCTACCACATTATGTATAATTATGTATTTATTTACAAAAAGAAAAGTATGTTTGGGCCACGCAAAGGATGTTTATCAGTTTTCTAGTACCACCATAGTACAAGCTTTGCTTAGTTTGGGACTAGAGAATTTTTTGCTGTAAATAAAGTGTAGAAAAAATGTGTCCTAAAATATTTGTTTTTTAAAAGGGTATCATCTGTCCACCAAGTGCGGAGACTTCCATTTTCGAAAAATATATTTTTTTGTTATTATTTCGAAAATATGCAGGTTTCCTCACGATGTTGCGGTGCACGCGGAGCACGTGATAAGTCAGCACTTAAAGTTAAAAAATTCATTGGTGTCGGCACCGGGGATCGAACTCATGTTGCTCGAGTATATTGATTTAAGGCGAAGGCGCCCGGACACTGAGCTATCACGGCTAAGTGACGTTTGCTTTAATGAATTAATACAAAATGTAGGTAATTATGTAAATGCTTTTAAAGGCACTTGTATCGATATCATTTAGTGCATTAGAAATTGCATTATCTGGAGTGCTTTGTAATTATTTGAAGACTTTGCTATATTGAGAAGACTTAACGGTAATGGTGATATGTTGAAGCCACTTGAAGGGTTTTAGAATTTCTACCTCAATTTGT